ATGACCACATCCGTCACAACCAGGGTCCAAAATCTATAGCACAGAACGGGGGTCGTCTGGCGGTGATTACTTGTCGGATCTTGTTCCGCTCACAGGATCCTTCTTTATTGCAATCTCCTCTCGTTCATGACAGCGACTTGGTAATCAATGAGACCTCCTATTAGCCGGTACAGGGACCTTCCACTGTACAGCGGTTTGAAACTACCGATATATCGGCACGACTTATCCTAATGCTGTGCTGGGTTGTGGACTGTTGTCACCTATGGCATGAATTTCGTTCGGCACCTTTGCTCTCCTTTGCTCTGCTCCCTTTCCTCCCTTTGGTCATAAGATTACTGAGTCTCATATCGTGACGAATCGGTCTTCATATTCATGATAGTAATTTGCAGCGCATGAGAAGCAAAGGCAGATGCAAGGAGCAAACCAGGTAAACGCCTCTCCCAAAAAAAATTGACAAAGTTTTGTTCTTACTACCCCCAAATACAAACGTCCGGATTCAAGTTTTTAATATTTTACTTTTCTCGCCGATATATTTTCAAACAACGATATTCATTCTCCTCAGAAATGGTCAATAGTGCACGCTGGTCGATGGGTGGTGCGCATATCAAATTGATGTTTGTAATTAGCAGCCTGAATCCACTAACCTCTGTTAGTCTTAAATGACGCATTTACGTACCGTTCTCACTTCATTTTGTCATGAAGACTTTACGATGCACTCAGCAGCTGACGCTGTATGCCGTCGTCCGCCTGGAATCCTGGCAGGAGGGGCGGGCGTTGCGAGTGTCGGACCTCGTACCTAGCTGGTCCCTGCGCGCAGCTAGATCACTTCACTGCCGTCAGCCTCCATGAACTTTGTTGCTCTTGCTCTCCTGTGTGTCCACACTGCACGAGCTGTTTCCACCAGCTGGGGCATCAATGTCTGGGAGCGGGTCCAATTCTTGTTTTAGCTGACCCCCCCCCCCCATCCTCACCCCAAGCAGGAAAACTGGATCAGTCAGCAACGCGATTAGGTACCCCAACCGTATCCGCTTCATTCAAAAAGTTGAGCCACTTCCCGATCATAATGGCATTCGCGTTGCTAGCCATCGTCGAGCATCCTAATCTCATCATTACCCGCCAGCCGCTGGTTATAATCATCATGGCTTTCGAGGAGTCTACTAAAATTTTAGAGCGAGATAGGAGCTATGTCCGCCCGCTCCATCTGGTGACAAGCTAGGCGGCTGTGTGCTCTGTCCAACCGGTGCAGCCGGCCCTTAGAACAAGCACAATTCAGTGAGCTCCAACGGGTGCTTGCTGTAGTAGGTATATTTTGAAATATTGTATGAAGGCTGTGGGTAAAATCTGGATGATGAAATAAGAAGGTGACGTCACCTCAGCAACGCAGCGTTCGGGTGTATTTGTTACCCTCCATCAAACAGTGGCATTGGTATGAGGAAGCAATCAGAAGGTTGCAAAAAAACTTCAATCTTGGCGGCAACAAAGTAGACACAATACACGCATCAAAGAGCACATAAGCATCATACAAGAAAGTTCCTATGCGTTCATTTTGTTACCCTTCGAGAGGACCGTGGTATGGGGAAGGAGGTGGAGATATAACAGCGGTACCACAAAGGTGAGCACACTGCAGATGGAGGTTGTCATCAGAGAACACTCAGACTCACAGCAATAAATGCCATCATCAACCAACCAACGCCGAGCTTGAAATGCCAAGCTAGACATTTTAAAAGCACCTGCCAGCTACATTAACTCTGCCACTAAACATTTAAAGTGAAATAAAACGTCATGTTCTTAAGCTTATTTCATCACAAGATGTAAACAAAGTGAAAGGTTAAATGACAATCCGAGTGGGTTTTCCGGGTGACGTCGCATAATTTAATATCCATGGAAAATGAAACTTAATAAGCCCCAAATACAACACCTCATAATAAGGCCGGGATTCACATAGGTTTGCCGTCTGAAAAGTGACCACATTTTCGGCGGAACCCGCGCGCGTGCTTACCGTGGCAGTCTGACCTGTGTCTGACCTGTGTCTGACCTGTGTCTGATCAGGTCTGCTTACGGTGGCAGTCTGACCTGTGCGACTGTGCCTTACTGAACAGGGAATACATTGATCCAACGTAAGTAATACACGAACCACTGTTTAATTACACAAAATTGGCTGTGCGTGACGTCACGCGCCCTTTCCCTGCGTTTCCGGGATTGCTTCTTGGCTTTTGTAATTTGCTTGCACTTAAATGCGAACAGTAGGGTCGGCTGACGCACTACGGCTGCACCAGTTGCCGTTCGTGGGGCGGCTCGCGCCGCGTGCATCGAACCATCATGAGCGCAGCGATGGGAGTGCGCATGCCAATATCGGGTGGGAAATGTTTGCTGTTGCGGAACAGCCACTGGTTACAGCGATAGTGGCGGCTGTTGACTTGGCCGGCGTGCGTCGATAGTCGGCCTTTGATGGCGCAGTGAGCCGGGCTGGCGTGGCACAGCCAGTCTGATTGGTGAGGTGCAGCTGGTCGCACCGCGACACTCTCACAGTTAACGACCAGGGCTTAGAGTCACCTGTGCCACGTTGGCATCTTCTGCGCCGTAGCTACGGTACAGAAGATCATTATGATATTTTTCAGACTTGAGACTTGAAGTCCAACTTGAAGACTCTGACGTCAGACTCAGACTTGAAGATCATCCTCATATGACTTTATATGACCATCATCTTTTGTATGACTCGGACAGACACCAGTGTTGGGCGCTCTGTCCGTGACCTGTCCCGGGCTCCGGCCCGAACGGGGGCCACCAGGGCCATGCTCCAGCTGGTGGCGTGGGTCCCGCCCTCATCACACACCAGTTGTCTTCCCGGCCAATGACATGGCGGCCACCGTCGATGTCCTACAGCGCGCCGGCTGGAGCAGTGTGACGCGTTGGACGGCAGGCGTATAGCCGTCTTCATCAAAAGATGCTCCTCAAATCAACTGGGCATGATGTGTAAAGGACGGCATAACTGTTCGCACTATCGTCGTCGTGTGGTATGTTAATGCACACAGCGTTTCGGCCAGCTTATCTCCGGACATTGTCAGGTGCTGCTGAGTTCTGAGAGGACTTCTTCAATTTGTTATGATCCCAGCCAAGGTCTTTTGATTACAAACCCAGTGCTCTTCTGAGTTAACCGGGAAGAAAAATTCATTGCAGTCAGAAATCAAAGTCATTCATCACTTGAATAACCCACCTAACCGAGATATTTCGCAGGAGCAAGTACTCCAAAGGCTTCGCATACCAAAAGCCAAAGAGCAAAGTGACGCCGAAAAGAACTGCTTAAACACGTGACATTTTCCTATTAAACCAGGCGCGTTCCAACGTGCGATGAGAAGTTACAGACCCTGAGAGGCCGTCTCGGGCGAAATATAGCAGCGCGCGGTAGCACTAGACTTCCTTCTACTGAGCTGGATGACGGCAAGTGGTAAAGGTGGTGGGGCCTGACAGACGCTGCCGGTTGCGAACAGGAAGTGATGGCGGGGTTAGCGTAACAAGGAACTAACTGGGGTCAGCGTGACGAGGAACTTATGGTGGGGTGAGTGTGACGAAGAACTGATGGCGGGGTTAGCGCGATGAGGGACTGATGGCGGAGCAGCATGACGAGGGACTGAAGGCGGAGTTGGCGAGACGAGGGACTGGTGGCGGGGTTGGCGAGACGAGGGAGTGATGGCGGGGTTAGCATGA